TTGCTACATATGTACGTAAGAGATGTTGTTTCTTTCACGATGTATACCTTGTAATATACAATATCAAATAAAGAAATAATGTTTACCTACTGGGATAACCCCTCCCAAAAAAAAGAAAGAAATAATACTGTATTTATCTATAAAAATAAAATAAAATAAAATTATATATTTTATAATATATATTATATTCTTACTTTATTTATTTACATAAAAATTTTATCTATATAAGAAAGATTTTTTTTCTTTGAAAAATAATTAAAGTTATCTGATTTTTTTCAAATTTTTCTTATATATGATTTTTTATTTTAATTCTATAATTATTAAAGAATCAAAGGTTCTATTTTAATATGGTCTAATTAATTTTTGATAGAAATCTTATTACGTAATTAAATATGATAAAAATTTTAGATTGCATATTATATTTGATTAACTATAAATAAAAAATTTTGAAAATGGAATTTATCGGAACTGTAGATATATTAAAATAGAATTTCGTGAAACGTAGAAGATGGATCGACATTGGATGACCATATAAATACGTGCCTTAAAAAAATGTAGGCCATAAAAAGAGAAAAATGGAGGAGAAACCCATCGAAAATGAATCAGTTTCACGGGAACTCGCAGAACATCTGAATTTTTCTGAATCAAATTCGAGCACTGTAAGGCGGAAGTTTTTAAGTACTTCTAGTGCGTTGAAGCCATATCAAAGGCGTTCTAATACATTCTGCAACTACAATACGAAAGTTGAAGGACATGCAGAACGGTGTTAGAAATGTCGCAAGTCAGATAGAAGACATCAAGCAATCTTTGGAACATGTACTCATCCGTTTTGAATTTTTATATTTCAACGCATGATAATGCATTTATTCATGTCATTGAGTTCAACGGTTAAAAAAAGGTCCGATCAGATGTAGATGCACGTTCCGAAGTTGCTTCCAAGGAACTTTACGACGCGGCTCATCACTTGGATGCATTATATGACAAGATCGATTCTTTAGAGGTACGCCTACAATACCAGGAAGGAAGGAATGGGGAACTCTTGTTAATCTGAATGAAATCGTTGATCGCATCTTTTCCGACTGACTGTTATTACCGATTCTTTTAGAGATTTATTAACATAGTTAAACAAACCGTCAATGAAGTCACTGATGCTGTTGATGAAGCGGAAGGATTTCTCACCAATCCCATTAACCTAGTGCTGGATACAATTAAACTAGTAAGACCTTTAACTTTGGTAAAAGCAAATTTATTAATAAGGTATTGACGGTAACCCCAATATCATATCACCAAAAGAATACCGCCAAATCAATCGAGGTTTCGGATTTAAGAGTTCCGCCGATGAGACCTTTGAACATTTATCGCACATCAGATCATTTTCCTGATGCACCCAACGCTGATTGAATATATGTTATCTTTTGAGAGAATACCGATTGCTTTATTTGCATCAAATTGTATTTGACAACCACACATCATCAAAAGCAGTCAGCTTTCTTTTGCTGACAATAATCAATTATTATTTAACGAGAGAGAGCATCTCATAATACTGTATTTATATTTTCTGTTGCGTTAATTATCATTTTATAATTGTAAAATATTCGATTAAATATGTGATTTATACATAAAATTATTGCTTATGTATTATGTTTATTATGTAAAGAAAAAAAAAGTAATTAAATATGTACAAAATAATATAAGAAGTAAAATTTCCAAAGGTAGTCACTAATTAACGCCATCTCGCTTCTCGACAAAAACTTCCATCTTTGTGATGTCATTAACTGCGGCAAACTTCAAATGCAATGGTTCTTTGGAATTTACCAGCCTAAATGTGTATTTCCTATAAATCGTCGCCAATATAACTTTAATCTCAGTGATCGAAAAATTTTTTCCAGGGCAACTCCTCATTCCATGTCCAAATGGTGAGAAGGCATATTGAGGTAATTTCTCCCTCCAATTTCCCATGAACCTATCTGGATTAAATTTTTCGGGTTCCTTGAAGTACCTTGCGTCTCGATGTATGTGACCCAGATTTATGGCAAACAAAGTGTTTGGTGGGAAATTGTAACCACTAATTTCTGTAGACTGATCGGATGTGAAGCGATATGTGACCGGCACGACAGGATAAAGACGCACGGATTCGTTGAGTACCGCTTCGGTATATTCAAGTTTTGGTAAATCAAGGGGTTCGACTTCTCTGTCTGGACCGACGACGGAGAGAATTTCTTCGACCATTCGTCTTTCGATCTCGGGATGCTTGGCCAGCAAGTAGGTAATGGCACATAAGGTTGTGGTGGTGGTACCAGTGCCGGCACTGAACATTTCTCGCAGGTTTTGTTTAATGTCGTCTGGGGTTGGATCATCGTCTTCGTTGGTGGTGAGGAGCATAGTAAGGAAATCAGGTCTCACTTTACTATTATTTCCAGAAATAAGAGTTCTATTGAAACCAACAAGCTCCTTGCTACTATCGGCCGATCTCTTGCGCTTATTCGATTCAGCTTTAATTATTTCTTTGCGTTCTTTAATGAAATCGATTTCAAATTCGGTGAGCGAATTCAAAGTTTCACGATAATGTTTACACTTTTCTTTGATAAATGGTAAGTTCCACACAAATTTCGGAACAAATACAAAGAAATTAAGCGCTTCGGCATAATCCTCTCTTAATCTTCGATAAATTTCGCCTTTACTCGGTTGATATTTCTCGTCCGTCTCTCTTCTGGACGAGCTTTCTTTCATTACTACTTTCCTATGCAAAACTTTTAACGAGTCCTCCTTATTCCCGGCAGCCACCAAACCCATCATATCGCTGGTGAATGCCCGGTACCAATGATCCAACCTGACAACCGTGTCTTGTTCGATATCATTCCAATACTCCATCATTTCTCCACAACATTCTCTCGTGTATTTTGTGCTTAACTCGACAAACGAAGGAGGCGATAGAGATTGTTGAAAGAATTTTCGATTGTGCCGCCATTTCGGTATGTCCAAGTTTAAAAGCAAACCTTCTTTGTCCATTCCCAATTCTTTAAATCCCGGCATTAATGGCATGCGACGCAAAAATGCGGAATTTACGCTGGGACTGAAAAGGTCTTTGAGTAAGGAGGGATTGCTGATGAGTACATAGCGATACCCAAACATTTCTATTTCGCAGATGTCACCATATTTTTTAGATAGGCGAAAGTTATTTTCGGCCACATCGCCAATTAGGATTGAGAGATAGCCGATAAATGGTAAGGGTATCGGGCCAGGAGCTCGGTAGGAGCGAGATTTGAAATAGGAGATGTAGGGGCGGATAAAGAGGTAGATAACAAAGATGATGATCAGTGGGGTGAAGAAGGAGCGAATGAGAGTGCTGTAGTAGTATAGTTGATGGAGTCTTGTTAAAAACGACATTTTTACAAAATACGAGATTTAGTTAGTGATATTTAAACCTTTGGAAATTAAATTAAGGAAAGCAGAAAAGAAATATTGCTTGCCTATTTAAATAATCTCCTTCACGGACGTGATGTGATGATTTTCCCAGCCTTAACAATAGTTTTTAGCTGCGACAATACATTTCTTATCCACACCTACAATTCACGATTGTTTTATTTCACACAATCGAAATAGTTATCCATAACAATATATATTAGAACAGTATTTCTGATTTTGTATTCTTCTTGGTCGTGTAACATATTGAACAATCCATAAATCTTACATGCAGTCAAATCTGTCGTTATTTTTGGTTTATTAAATTTCTGTATATGGCAAATAAAAATTTTCTTAGTATTAATATGAACATACACACAATGCAAATACGAACATTATGTACAATGCACAGTATATTATAAAATAGGTAACAAACATCTTTCCGAATAAGGTCGTTCGATCAACACTGCAAAAAAAAATTATAGAAAAAAGTTACAGCACCCAGTATTCCCATGTTGTCCCCAACCATAGTACTGACTGGGCCATCAGTGGCTTAACTTCG